ATGTACATAGTTATACAACTATTTATATCACATTTCTAATTATACTAAATTATATGTACAGTACTATGTAGGAAATTATCATAAATACAGAATAATGTAATTCTATATTTAATGATAAATAAGAAAATATTTAACTTTTTGTAAACATCTTTGCAAATAAATTTATGATTTGAAGAAAATAATTACAATGATTTATTACATGATACAAGTATAAAAGAATTTCAATTAATATAAATATTTTTTCAATGTAAAATTAGCTTCTAGTTCTGAGGACAAATATTGAATGTATATTAAATAAGTATATTATGAGAAAGAATTCTATATTTGTGTATATGTTTCATTCATATTATTTTTGTATATGTAATTGCATCTGCTATTTGTACACATATAAATTGTAATTACCCTTTTATATTATCTTAAAATACATTTGTTATATTTTATTTACAATAATTCTATTTGTTGTTTATAAATATTACACAAAAATTTCTTTAAATAATGAATATATTTTTAGTGTATATCATAATAATTACTTTGGGCCATTCTAATCAAAATACACTGTTATATATCAAATATAATGTTACAATCTGCAATAATTTGAAAGTAATAAGTTAAAATGATAAATGTAGGAATTTCATAGTATTCAACATAATTTGAAACTCAAATTTTATCTTATATTTTTAGCATTATTATATCTACTATAACTATTAAGAAGAAATTAAAATTGTAGTAATTTCAAAATTGTGTAATAGCAAAAATTTAAGATTTGTTATTTCTCTTAACTAATATTTAGTTATGAACAATAATTGTGCATATGAAATTATTGATAATTTGTATCCTTTTGTGGGTGTCTTATAAAAATCTGTGTTTTTCAGGGGTGAACCAGAATGTATTGAAACTGTGTTATTTCCTTCAACTGGTGAAGATTCACAATCTCAGTATGTTTGTGTAACACTAATTGTTCAATTACCTGTGGGATATCCTGATATATCACCTAGTATTAGTCTCAGAAATCCCAGAGGTTTGGATGAAAGTACAGTAAGGCTAATGCAATCAGATGCAGAGGCAAAATGCAAAGATTTTATAGGTCAACCAGTTATGTTTGAACTCATTGAGGTATGTCGAATTTGTTAGAAATAGCTTATTAATAAAATATACTTAGTGTATATTAAAGTAATAAAATCTATCAAAATTTTTATTAACTATAGATTAACAACAAAATAATATGTATACTTTCTGAGTGATATATTAAAACGTTACTATTGCACTACTGTCAGAGTTAAATTTAAATTATTTCCTTTTACTATTTGCAACTATAATTCATATTACATTTACTGTTTAATGCATATAGGGTGGACAACGTAACTTGATCACATTAATTATTTTTGTTATTACTGAAGCAATACAAATTCTGTTTCTTTTTTTTAATACCCTGATTTAGAGAGGCCTACAACCAGATTGCAGTATATGTTTTATAGATCATTTTTTTTTGTCAAAGTTATCAAGGTCACCTTTCATTTCTTTAATGAAACACTATAATTTTTCTTCGCCTGTCTTTGAATGGACAAAATAATAAATACAGCAAGCACTGCAACATACTTTTATTGTCATTAGAATTTAAAATATAATTTCCATCATTTGTGTTGTTCTAATGACAAAAACGTATGTTGCGGTGCTTGCCGTATTTGTCTTTTTGTCCGCTAAAATATTGGCCAAAATAAATTATAGGGTTCCATTAAAAAAACTAAAGGTGAACTTGATAACTTTAAAAAAAAATGACCTACAGAATATATATTGCAATCAGCCTGTAGGCCTCTCTAAACCAAAGAGTTAAAAAATGAAAAGAATTTGTATCGGTCCAGTGATAACAAAAGTAATTAACCCTTTAACCTAGGGGTTCTCAAAGTTTTGCCTAGGTGGGCTAAATTGTAAATTCGAAAATATTTGGCGGGCTATTAAGACAATTACGGCCATTGGCCGTTAAGACAATAAAATATATACAATCTATATAACAACAAGATATATTGCATATAAAATTTAGTATTTTTTTAACTGAACAATTTTTAATTATGATATGATAAAATTTATTTAGTTTTTTGTAAAAATGTAAATTATCTCTGTAAATTCAGGATAGCGGCTGATCTGCCATCGCGGGCCGCATTTCTAGGGTTTACGGGTCGCACTTTGGGAACCCACATATTATATTTTATTTTATTGGAATACTTAATAACATGATATTATTATAAAAGTTAATACGGGAACACCTTACAAGAAGTAATCTTCCAACGGATCAATGTGCCATATGTTTGTATGGTTTTCGGGAAGGAGATGAATTTACAAAAACAGAATGTTATCATTATTTTCATTCACATTGTTTAGCAGCACATGTAGCTGCTGCAGAGCGATATTATAGAGAGGAACAAGAAAAATTGCCACAATGGCAGCAAGATGCTGCTAATAAATTTCAGGTACATTATTGCTTGACTTTTACAATTTTAAATAAGACATTTTTGTGGAGTGCAATTAATATTGCTAATTAACTACTGTTAAAAATATGAACCTAAATAAATTTTTACTGTTAAGAAAAATGTATTTTTTTAGGCTATATGTCCTGTATGTCGAGAATCAATAAATTGTGATGTAGAAAGTTTATGGTCTGCTCCACCTCCAATTGATGTTGAAGCTGCTACAGACTTCTCAGTAACTGCAGAACTGAAGGAACTACAAAAGCAAATGGCAGCATTATTCTTAAGGCAACAACAAAAAGGTGGTATAATTGACTTAGAAGCTGAAGGTGTAAAAACATTAGTTAGAATAGAAGATGAGTCTGGTGCTACTACGGAATGTCTCAATCCACCTGGAACTAGTTTAAATGCATATTCAAATCAAAGTATGCAACCTGTTAATCATATGGTATGTGTAGATGTTTTTCATACTTAAGACCAGAATGTTTTTGAAATTTAAGTTAAAAAATAATTATAAAAAATGTTTATTTTATTTTTGTAATATTTTATTTATAATGTTTTAATTG